ATACTGGAAATACAGAGGAGATAGTGCTGGTATACTTGCTGGAGAGTGTAAGCCTGGGACAAGATATATTTTCTGTATAAAATACTTTTTTATATGGGGATATTATAAGCTGAAAAAGACCACAGTGTTCTGCTTAGGTGTGCGGCTGAAGAATTTTTATTTGGCTGCAGCTGAAATTTAGTGACAAGTTTTTGTATGCGATACATTGTTTCCTGATACTTTCCAGTGTAAGAAAGACTTTGTGACCCAGGACAATATGTGATATTGCTATATCAATCTAGTATCTGAAGACCTCACAGCTGCATTTTCGACATTTATGCTCTGCCCTTTCTACCTTTATGTCTGAAATAGAGAATTGTACATATCCCAATTTTGTTCATCAGAAAACGCAGGTACAAGAAGACTGATACTCAGGATCTCAAAGTCACCCAGGAGCCTACATCCATAAATGAGGAGGAAATGTGAAAAAAAAAAAAAAAAGGACTAAATCGTCACCTAAATGGTTTTCTGCAGACAGAGGAAATACATAGCAGATGTTGCTATCACACAACCTTTCACAATGTACCCAGTGTTTTACAACGTGAACCATTACGGATTTGTAACTGCATTTTAGCAGGGCTCTGAAATTGTAGACTTGTAAAAGAAAGGCAATCGGAATGAATAACTCTGAGTTGTCTAAGGAACATTATAAGTGACTGCTGTTCATCTTCTAAAAAAGTAAGTTGTTCAGAGTCTGCCTGTGGGATTCTGCTAAACCCTTAGCTGACTCACTTCCAGCAGACTAATAACTGAAACCTGGAGACTCAGCTCTTGAGCATGCTTTTCTTGTACTAGAAAAGACATAACTGCAGGTATATCAAATTTGACTTACCTGAATTGCTGCCTTACACTGCAGTCTAAAAATTGTTACTTTTTACCCTTTCCCCTTAGTTACTACCAGTGCTGAGCGTTAGACGTTTTGACTCAACAAGGCAGGACGTCTAAGATTTAATGTTCTGATGAACAACTATGGCTGGAAATCATACCACCTACCAGGAAGTACCTAACTCTGGGGCATTTAGTTAGACTCCAGGCTGCGCATTGAGGAGCTGGATCATCCTCAGGAGCTAAGCTATAGAAAAGAGTCAAAGCAGTTCCCCTCCTATCTCTGCCACCACATTTGATTTGTATGACGTTTCTGCCACACAGACATCTTTCATAGCCATAGCACTTAACTACCAGCATACGTAGTCATCCACTGGGAAAGTACATACACGACCTATGTATTTTTTTTCTTTTTTCTTCTAGAGAGAAGCGGTAGGGCTGGGAGCAGGGTTTTAACTGAGAATGTTGTTAGGCTTGATATATGTTATTGGAGTTTTCCAGAATACTCGTTAGCTGAGACGAGAAACCACATAATTTAACAACAATCTGTTTTGTTACAGATTACTTGCTACTATGCTTGCAGAATTACAGTAAGGTAACATGGGGTGAGTGGTTGGAGCCTTTATCAGGAAGAGCCGCATTGCTCTCTGGCCTGACTTTCTTCACTGAAGGCAAGACAAGAGTATTGGAGTCCATAATCCTTTTTGCCAGAGTTAAATGGGCGACAGACAGTGGAGTAGTGACTACACAGGAATGAGCAGAAAACAGCCACAGGGAGAACAGAAGACCTCATAAAAGGCGAGTCACAGGCTATTAGTAAAATCTTGGAGCGTACAGAACATTTCTCAACAGCCACTGAAGAACAGATCCAGTCTGAACTTTTCTTCATGCTGGCTAGCTTGCACGCATAGCATATCACACCTGGGCTGAACTCGACTTTCAAGACTGTAATTAATCAGTGAAAACAGGCAACGACTGTGGATGTATAATTTCTCTGGGGAACTGTGAAGAAAGGAGGTCATGATGCTCTGGTTGTTCTACCCACTCTCAGCAGTTCTGATACATCTGTACCACAATGGTCTAGGCCAAAAGCCTTTTCTCCTCCCACAAGACAGGCACTACATTTGCATTTCAGTATAAAATTTGGAGCATTTATTCATCACAAGGAAAATAAATGCCTGTTTACATCTGAGGAACGATGAGTTTAGTATCTTTGCTTCTTCCTCTGCATATTATGTATAAGGCAAGTACAGCGTTCTCAAGGGAACACTGTAACAGAAGTGAAAGGTGACTTATCTTTGTATTATAATCCCAACACTCAGAAATGGCAACCATCCCTGGAAAAGGAGAGCAGCACACACAGCTTATCTGGCCTAGCACAGTTTGCAGATGTGATCCCTGTTGATCGGAAATACCATAAATAAAGTAGTTCAGCATGTTATTTGCTGATACATTTTCTTTGCTCTAGGGGGCCTGGAAAAGCTAAACTGTATTTATTGCTCAGGATCAGAAAGCAAAAGATATCCCAGTTTTGGACACAATATCCACAGCCAGGAGATTTATGAAATCAATGGCTTTTGCAACACTGTGATGAATTCTATATTTAAATAGAGAACTCCCACCACACAGAAGCAGAAATATAACATGCCTTTTGTTCAGAGATTTATCATGTTTAATTATTCGTTTTTTTCAGTAGCTTAACCATGTACTCAGTTAAATAAAGTAATTAACAAAAGTGTTCAAAGTGAGGCAATATTGTCTTTAGTTGATTTTTAAATTGTGTTCAGGTATCTGTGGGACATGGAAAACTAAAATCAAACAAAGTACATAATCTTTGCTTCTCTCATAGTAAAACTTAGTGCCAAATTCTGCTCTCGGGTAAACTGTTATAAAGCATTATTCATGATGACATTACAATACATTGGCATATTTCTAGGTTTAAACAAGTGCAAAAGATCAGAAAATGTTCTTCTGTCTTAAAAGCTCAGCGCACACCAAATACAGACCTGGTGCCTAGTTCCAACACATACTGCTCGGCTGACCTAGAGTAAGCAGATGCAGCATCATTCAACTAAAATTTGCTGATTTGATTTCGCCAGAATGTAATTTGGCTAACTGACTTCAATTTGCCTGATTCAATGACTGAGAGCACAATTTGGCTCCTTTCTTGGTGAAAAGGAAACCAACCAAATATGACTTTCACCAGCCTCAGGTTTTGGCCCCAGACTTCAACATACGCTATTACATCAACCGAAAGAACCACAGAAATTACTTATCATTTTACTGTTCCTTAACACATTTCACACAGTCCTGCAATGAGCAAAATCACAGGTGAACCTCAGAACATACAGAGAGCACAACTACTACACTGGACATGAAAAGGAAATTTTATTAAACATGTTTACATAACATGAGTTGGAAGTTCATTTAAAAGCACAGGGGAGTGTTAAGACAAGTGGTCAAAATAGAAAGATACGATCGAATCATAACTAGTTGTTTTTTGGCCACTAAGACAGAACGGAATCTAGTAGTAGTGCACCAATGCTTGAGTTCTTCCTGCTCAGCAGGTCGAGCAGTAATCAATCTGCGCCCTATGGAAAGATGGGCAGAATATTCCCGACGTGTTGAATAATAATAAATAGTTCACTTGGTGCAGGCAGTATGTCTATGAATTAAAACCTAGTGTGTACACAGTTTCTACATGTGTTACAGCCCCACAGTAGGAATCTACACCAAAATATTTATTAGAAGGAATTTGGTCCGTACTACATCACGTTTTCCATAGGGTAAAAAATAAAGTCCATCTATAGACATTTAGCACCAGACTCACAGACCTAGCCTGGCTAAAATCTGCAAAATGTCTATAAGAAAAATGGATGGCTTAGATTTCTTGGTTACTTCAGTATAGTAATTACGAGCAAACTGTACAAGTACATGCAACATACAAGCTGGCCTATGTGGAGCTAACATACATTATTAAATAACCTTTTTCATTTCTTTTTTACAAAACGTGCATGCAGCTTTGAACAGTTCCAAGTCATGCTGCTCTATTTGTGTGATCACAAAATTGAATGGCCTGTAAAAGGAGGGGAAACATATCAATGCACCTGCAGAGTCTGCGGTTTTTTTAGCACATTTACAGAAAATCACAAGGGATCTCAAGGCCAAGAACTCAAATGAATAAAAAGCAAATTGAAATTTGACTTTTTTTTCTCCAAAAAGTAAGATTTCTTGCGTTAAAAAATCAAGCTTTGTGCTTGCATCAATCTCAAAGAAATGTAAACTAAAATTTGATAAAAACGTTAGTAAGTGCAGAATATTTCAACTGGAATTTCCAGTGAAACACTGAACAACTCATACCATGCTCTATCCAGGGCAGACAAGTGTGTCTGAAGCGACACACATCAGAGAAGCCTGGGTACAGCTGAAAGTGTCATATGCTCAATCCATTCCTGGTCAACATTTTGGGAAGTCAAATATACATTTATACACAGAAACGTAAATATTTCCTCTCCATTTCTAGGAGGAAAATTGCATTACCAGTAACATATTCAATGTCAAAATTAGGACTAAAGCTGCTTTTTTACCAGTCCCCAGCATTAGTTGCAGAATTCTTCAAAATTCTTCCATGCAAAATAGCATAAACATAAAAGTTATTCTATATAATGCAAACATATCTGCTTTTTACAAAGAAAAAGTGGCACTGTGATGATTATTTATTTTTAAGAAGATAACCTTGATTGGTCATTTGCTTTGGGTTTCCACATGAAAGACTTTGAAGTACCAGAACTGAGAAACAATTTGAACTTGCTGGAATTATAATTGTGGCTGTTGAACACTTTAAGCAATGCTTACAGAGATATATTTCAGCCCTTTTTTTTGTTTGGTTTAGAAAAAGAAAGGAAGGGTCTCTGTTAACATTGTGAGGACTTCTACAAAACTAACAGAATCACATGGCAAAAAAAACTAGTGGAAGTAACAAGTACAGAAAAACTGCTGAAACACCAGGAAGATAAGACTGCTTGAGGGCTCTGTCAAAATGTGAAAAATACAACATTGTTAACAGAGTGAGAGCTTCCAGTTTGACTAATTTTTTTACTTGATTTGAATCTAAAGGTCCCTCTCGCTTTTTTTTGATCATGATAAGCATCAGTGACAGTTGCTAACAGACTGACTGCATGTATGTGATACACCTTTGTTCTGTCAATTTAAGCCATCTTTCAACAAACAACTCCGACATATTTTTGGATAACTACTACAAGCAAACACAGAAGTGATTGTCTCTCTCCAACAGTGTTTTTGATCATGTGAATATCTGGTTCCAATTGTTATCCTGGGTGATGTTTTTATTAGACAGCACCTGCTACTATGATCTAATGCAGGGAGGCCCAGTTGAACTCTCCAGAGATGACTGGGAAGCCCTGCGTGTCAGGGGAGTCAAGGTTGGATCCACTAGTGAGGAAGGCGGAAATAATTTATACCAGCCTATTACCACGCTGGACAGATCAAGTTCCTCCAGAAGGATCTGGGCAACTCCCATGAAGCATTTGTGATCCATTCGGCCATAATCTCCCCAAACTATTACCTGTAAGAACACAAATGCAGGTTCAGCATTATCCCAAAATCCGTGCTCATATGCTTCCTCCTACTGTATTTCATTATGTGTATTGTAAGGAAAATATTATTCTTAAGAGTGAATGATTGCTCCTTCCTGTGGGAAAACCTAATGGCAGGACTGGAGCAAAAGTCAACAAAAGAGAAATGTTTAATACATCCAGACATTTCACAGGTCTGAAACCACAAGCCGCAAGGATGTGTTTGCTGGTATCTATAAAATTAAATGCTAAGTGAGTTGGAATGGGGTTACTCATATTGCTTAAACTTAAGTAAACATGTACGTGCTTTACCAAATGATAGCCTAAAATGGGATTAAGAAGCAACTGACCTGAAGGACTTTACCCTGTGGACTTTCATCAAAAACCAGTGTCTGTTGGTACAAAGGATCAAGGGTCTTCCGTGCAATTCTCGTCTTCTTCTTAGCTATGCATGCTCCATTTTCCAATAAATACACTTTGACATAGGGCGCTGCAAACAGAACATCATGAATTTAATGTTTGGACATAAAAACTTGTACATTGCACTTCTGCGCTGGAGGACAAATGCCATAAAAGGAAGTTGAGTAGAAAGAAATTGACACACACTATCTTCACTATATAATCTGAATGCAATTACATTCATTAAATAAATGACACAGAACATAAGAAATCAGTTTGATTTTTATAAACCTTGAATTTAATGATCCAAGATGTTACTAATAACAATTCTGTTTTATGTCTGTCAATTTAAAAACACTTTCCTCTGCCAGGAACTAGTTGTCACTGTTAGTTACTCTGAAGTCTCTATGCATGTCTAGGGGTCAGGGATATATTGAAAAAATAGAAGACTCTGATGTTTCATTGAAAGGAATGTTTAAAACTAAGACGCTCAGATAACAAGGACGTTCATTGCTCCTTCATTTTCAGCTCCTAAGGAGGTTATAAAGTACCATTTTGGCAAAATGCAATCTGAAAACAACTGTTCCAGTTGTTATGGTAAGCAGCGTCTGTAGTGGAAATTATAAATGTCTTCTAATAAAGATTTTTGTAAATAACTACAGTTTCAAAATAATTTTCTTATAGAATGATTCAGTATTAAATCCCATTCATCGTGCAAATTATTGGCAGTGGCACTAGCGCAACTTGCTAGCTTCAAGCACTGTTGTATCACAGAAGACCACGGCATGTGGCTCTATCACTCTGTTTGTTCAAACCACTTTCATCAGATGTCTTATTCTGACATGGAACAAATGCAAAGCACTTCATGAACAAAGCCTCTCTGAGAGGTAAGGTTTGCCTAGTATCCACACAAATACTTCTGCAAACATTCCTTCCAGAAAAATGTATTGAGTTGCTGAAAATCACTCCTTGAAATGTTGCATGCAATTAATGGATGCAAGGTGGTAGGAAGTGAATGTAGGTATAAAGGATATATCCATGCATGCACCCACTGTTGAAAAACAAACCAAAAAAATGCCAGCGTAGTGATAGCTAATGAAGAGCTCAAAGGTCTCCAATCCCCAGTTCCTCACCATATTTCATATTCTTTGTTTACAGTTATATATTGTCTATCTTCCCTTACCTGGGGTTGACTTGGAGCCAGGTTTTTGTGTGAGGCCCCGGGCTCTAATGACTTCCACTTCTAATTGGCCCTTTTTATCCACCATTCCAATCTGAATATCCCCTGAGAGAGAGAGAAGAAAGAAACTCGCATTTAGAGAAGAAATATGGCCTGAGGGATAGGGTATAAGAAAGAGAAAGACTAGCTTGCTGTTGGTCTGCTGGGTGAAGCTGTGTTTGTCACTTCTTCTCCATATTCCTTACATTTCTCCGTTGTTAAAACAGGAATAAAAGATGCATACTTAGGTAGCGCTGTGCCCCCTTGGTGAACTGCTTATACCAGAGCTCCGTATTGACCTTCCGATCCAGGGAGGGAGGGAAGTTTTACAACAATGCTACGGTATCACCACCAACCTTCTAATTTTGCGTAGGTGAATTATGTGGAGATCTCTAACCTAGGACCCCCACCCCCATGGGCCAGTCCCTGATATGCCCTGCCCTGAGAGTGGTCCCACCCTCACGGAGCCTAAAACTCAAATTCGGGTTCAGAAATCCCCTCAGCTGGAAGTTTCTGCCTCCAAGCTGAGACGCAGGAGCTGACAGCGTGGACGCTCCTTGTCTGATGTAACAGGAGGGACAACGGGTGAAACAGGCTAATTTTGTAAACCTCAGTAATTACAGTCGTCTGATGGGATTCCCAGTGTAAGGCAGACAGACCAAGCAGAGGAGGCACAGGGTCATAGCGCAGCTTCAGAGAATGACGTGCTGCCCGCCAGGTGCTCACGACAAGGTCTTTTCCTCCAGAGGTCTCTTAACAAGTGCAGGGGTGATGATTTTCCCTGTTTTCATCAATATTTCACACCCATTCGGGTGGGAATAAAATCACCCAATATGTTCAAAAAATCAGCTGCCTTCTCACACAGACAACTGACCAGCCAAGCTAACTGACTACCAGTCTGGCTACCTGACTTCTGACAAATGACATTTCCAGTTACAGCTGCAGAAAAGGAAAACTGCTTAGTCTGGGACCAAGCACTCTTCTGAGCTAGACTAATACAACGCAAACGGAGAGAGGATGCCTTAACGATGGGTTGATGCTCAAAACAGCAGATCTTTTTAGCTTCGTATGTCATGGAATCAGCTGGGTAGGTATCTAACAGGCCACTTAGACTCAAAAATACACATGTGCATGTATGATGTGCAGCTATATGACATGTGTGCAAATAAAAAAAAAAGGCTATATGTGACACACCTGACTTTGATTTGATATATTATATACTTGATACGCAAACTCTGAATAACTTAAAAAAAAAAAAAACAGCAATAGGTAGTCCTGAACAACAGCATTTGGGGCATCCAGATTTATAAACATCACATTTTGAAATTAACTGGGGATGAGACTTTCATATGCTTGTCTAACAGCATATTGCAGTAGGGTTTATACCTCGGTACTTGAGGTATGACAGAACATCCACAAAGATTTTTTAATCTATCAAAATTTGCTTGAATAAACAGAATTCTCTGTTGCACTGAACATAATTCCTAGGAAAACTCCAACAAACTATTTTAGGAGTGCATCTCAGTATTGCATATCTGAATGAAAACATGCTACAGGCAACCAGCAGGAGGAGCAATAATACAAACATTTTCAGATCATCCCTGGCTAAAGGATACCACACAAGAGATGTTCTAAAAACTGCTAAGAAGCACTACTGAGTGCTTCTTTGGGCCAAAGCCTTCCTTAAGCCTTTAGTAAGAAAATAGCTCTAAGAAGTGGAAATAAAAATATCACTGAAGTAATCTTCAGGAACATATTTACACAGAAAACAAGATTAAAATAAGAAAACAGATGGAATAAATCTAGATCCTTATATATATGAATAATCCATACCAGTTGAGCCACTTAGATTTTTATTGAATCAATAATGTTGCAAATATATTCTCTTTCAAAATAAAATTTTTTATCTATTTATAAACTGTGGCGCTTAATAATGTGCTGGCCAAACAGTAGCTACTTCTGCTTTATGGAGTACTCAAAGCATTCTCAAGAAAGTTTCCTTTTCTTTCTGCTCATGAGTTGGGAGGGAAACACTCTCTTCTGCGATTTTTCTTTCTGTCTTTCTTTCCTTCCTCAGAAGCATCTCAGTTGCCCTTCCTGAACCTCATCTGAGACAGCTGTACTGAGGCATTGACCGTTTATGCTTTCCAGCAGGATTAATATGGTTAAAGTATCAAAGATGACAAGGACTCCACACTTTGCACCCTGAACAGGTAACATTTGAAGCATATCTAAGAATTACACATATAAGCAAAAGATTATCAAACTCTTCCAAAAATATTTACGCAGTGCTGTGCTGCTGCACAGCTTATACATCCCATTTATAACTGGTGTACAGTTAATGCTACTATAGGGAAATCCAGACTGGTTTGGAATACAGAAGAGATCACAGGCAGTGGCTGTAGAAAAGGATTTTGTCTCTTTCATTATAAATACTAGCTTTATCAAGAACTGATTTTTGGGCACTGCAAACAAGAGCTAAAATTTCAAATTCTGGGGTTACTTCAGAATGAATTAAACTTGGACAAATGCAGTAATTGGCAAGAAACTGTCACATCCAATATAATCTGTGGCAAGTAAGTGTAAACTTTGACCCCTGAGATTTGGCAGTAAGCTAAGATTGGAGAAATCACAGCAATTTTGAGTGGGGAGGAAAGTGCAACCCCTATTTCAAAATGGAAGTGAGATTAGCCAACACTTCACATACGGATCACATGCTCTTCTTCACCTCATTTTGGATGCCAGTGTGCCAGGAATATTAGCGACCAGGGACAGGACATTCATGTTTAAGGTGAAGGAAACCACTGTGTAAAAGTCTTTTGGCTGCTATAGCCTGGCAGTGTGTATTATACTTTAGTTAATGACCATTATTCATTTAACATAGGAGAACGTATTATTCTTACCCATGGCAGGGGTTGCTAGTGTTTGTCGGCCTACTAACTGTGCGGGTCCAAGTCCATCGAGGAAATCACTAAATTGACTGTCAGCGCCCAGTCGTACTCCAGGGAATATTAAACTGAAGCAAAATAAAAGCTGGTTAAGCTTAAGTACAGTAACAATTCCTTTTATCCTACACTATTTTCTCTAAAGTACTTATACAGGGCAAACAGCTCAGGATACGTAACCATGAACATGTTTCTGCAAAGCTAGAAACAAGCTATCTCCCATGGACTCCAAAGAAGTATAGTGAAACTTCCACGTATGGAACCAAAGCAGTCCACGCAAACGCTTCTTGCCAAGGAGTTCTCCAGAAGCACTGAAGAGCATGACAGGTGAAACTGTGAGTGACCTTGTAGGAGAAAACAGAAAAAAAACTCACAAGATTTAATAAGCTTATTGAGCTCAAAATACAGGACTATATCCTGCTTGAATATACAAGCCACGCAAACATTTTATAAGGTGCTTATGGCATTTCACACTGGTTCCTCAATTCAGCTGATTCAAAAATGTCAGTTTTAGAATTTTTACAGATTTATTATAATTTCGGCATAATCTCCTCACTGCAAATCTATACGGATAGGCAGCTGGGGCTTCCTGAAATCACATACACAGACAGATTTCACTTGGTCAGGATTTTCCAGTGATCTGCTCTACGGGAATACTATGAAACATGCTTGAAATGCTAGCAGACTATTAAAAAAGGTAGTATGCTGCATATTTATATGTGATAACTTGATTTTGGTCTTCTACTATGGTTTCCCAGTTCTTGTTCTTCATTTAGTCCAAGTTTACCTAAAATAGGATTTCAGGATTTCAGTATCTTTGCAAGTTTGAAGAGCTCTCTTTCAACTGATATTCATCTAAAAGAGGTGAACAGGGCCAGGAATCCAGAAATGATCCCAGATCTTCAGCAATCAACGGAAGATCAAACTGAGTCCCTTCAATATTTATGCACGTTAACGTGCAGGTTTGTTTATAGTAACTTTACTTGCAACTATGAAACATGAATCCATCGGAAATGACAATGAGATCTCTTTGCCTGTTTGTTTTCTTCAGCCTTCTTCCAGGTCCTTCCCTCCCTCTCACCCACTAGAATTGTCCACGTCATCTTCTTTTTTCAGTTCCTTAGTGCTTACATCCTTTTAAATATTTCCATTTGCTTTTGCCCATTCAGGGCTCTGCGTTTGTGCTTGCCCTAACTTTGGCCTGCACTCAGGGTAGCAGGACACTGCTGCTGTCAGCCATTCCACTAGGGGAAATGGCAAAGGTCTGTGGCATAGTTCAAAAGATTTCAACCTTTCAGGCAAAGTAAATGTGTCACAAGAAGGAGTATATTTTTCTTTCTCTCAATTTCATTTAGAAGGATGAAGGTTATAAAAGACCAAATCCAAACGTATATTCCATAAATGGAGAAATGTTGACTGCACGTCACTCTTAACACTGACACTTCTTCATTCCTGAATGCTTGATCCACCTTGTAATACTGTCTTATCTCTATATGCACATCCAAACCCCATCCACATCAGTTAGGATATACAGGGGAAAACTCACAGATACACTAAATCTGATTGTTGCAGCTGTTTAATAAAGCAGTAAACAGGCAGACAGTGCTACGGTGGATTAAATCTAAAGGTAATGCCATTTCCTAGCCAAAATATTCTGGTAGCCAGCTCTTGATGCCAGTGAAGTCTTGCCAATCAAATAAGTGCCAATCCAACTTTCAGGACATGAACTGAACGGGAATACATTGGCACAGCAAAAATACGCTTCTTCAGAGGTTGCTTTCCTCTTGTCATTATTACCTGTCTACTGTAATGTCAAGAGTGAACAGCGCATTAAATACTACTCAACCCATTCAAGTAAAGCTCTCACTGATTTTGATGGGAACCTCACAGGAGGGAGGAGTAACCAGGCATACAGTTTTGTGATTCAAATGTAGGGTAAGTGTGAATATAAGTGCTATTAAAACCAGACTCATGGTCACACTGAAAGTAATATCTAAAGTTAAAGGTGACTTTCTAATGTTTCTAAATAGGCCCAGAGGATGGAGGGGGGGAGGAGAAGATTTTAGGATCAGCTGCTGCAGTATATGTGCCCCGACTACGTGATGTAGCTGTGCAGCTTTACAGCTGCCTTGCAGTTGCATCCAGCTCTCATTCTAAATATAAGACAGTGATGCACTTGGAGGAAGTGATTATATAGTAGAAGACTGTTTTATTGGTCATCTTTCTTACAGGAATATTTGCTTTATACATCCTTCACTTGCTGTGGACTAAATCCAGAGCTGCTATAAACTTACACTAGTCTACTGAATTGCAAGCTTGCAGAGCACCTGATGTTCAATCTTGAGTAAAAGCACAGAATCACACAAAAATGAAAGACCTGAGAAAAGTCTTCTACGCCACAAAGTACACTACCATGATGAACACGTTCCTCTGGCTTGAGCTGTTATCCCTTTTACCTGTGGCTTTCTATCCTGTTTAAAGAATGGTTTTCTTTCTTCAGTACAGACAGATATATTTAACTGTTTCCCTTTTACCCAGGAAGTTTTGTTGCATGCTATCTGTCGTCTTAGGCCCATCCTCTTAGGGTTCCCATCGTATTCATCGTTAGATGGTGGTCTTCTTTTCACGTCACTGGCCTCACTGTTTCTTTGCTCTTGCCAGGAATTGGAAGAGGGATGCAGAGATCAGGGACAGTGATTAAGGTTTAACTCAAACTTAAATTGGGTTTGGAGCCAGAAACTAGCGGAGGAATACAGAGGGCCAGGAATCAACCAGGAGAGATGGGAACTCTACCTGACCAAAAATCTGGGACAGAAACATAATCAAAAGTTAGGGAATTGGTGCAAAAAGTATGGATTTGAAAGGCAAGACCAATGTGGATAGGAAATCCATATGAAAGAACTGAGAGAGGTACGGAGGCTTGTCAGAAGCACAACAGGTGCTGTGACAGTGCAGATGGGGAGCGGCATAGGGGCTAAGAAGGCAGAAACAAGACATAAGATACAGGAACTACCAGCTTATGACAGTTCACTCTGACTTGAACGTGGACCCCCTTTCTAAGAATCCTTTTCAAACTAAATCCCAATATGCATGCCCAGCCTGCTTGAGATGGCGATAAGAAGCAAGCACTCCGTTCACCTCCTGGGCTTTTCTCTTCACGGCCTCGCTCAGAGGCTGGTTCTCAAGTCAACAATTTAAGGCTCTACTTTGCAATTCCTGCCTTCCAGATGCCTGCTGGGACCTGGCTGGTCTGGCCTTGTCAAACGTGCTCACACACCCTGAGAGTGGAGCATGGGATTAGGCTGTTCCCCAGAAAGGGCCCTCACCTTCAGTGCTGGACTCCCACCTCTCCTGTACTGCTGACCAGGGAAACTGGCCAGTTCCCAGCAGGGTCCAGTTTATTCGGCCCTCACCATAGCGACTGGTGGTGTAGGCACTGACAATCCAGCATAGAAAGAGGAAGGATGGCAGGGTGTAGTGCAGAAGATGCTCTACTGTCTGATGCTGGAGCATCATGGCTACCCTGGCTCTGCACGCCTCATAGCCCTTACAACACAAAATCCGCTAGCAGTTGTGGCAACAAGGCAGGCATATAAAAAGATGATGCCAAGTAAGTCCCAATCTCTCTTTTTTTCTGGTCTACAAGGTAGATTTGCCTGCCTCCTGTTTCCACTTTTGTAGGTAGCAATCTTCTCGCTTCTAAGAATTCTCTAGTGACCACTATACGTTTGCAAACAAGGTAGGGTCCCACTAAGATCTGTGAGGAGGCTGGAATGTTCATGCACATTTTTGTGCCAAATATGCCTTTGTTCACCTTTCCTACACACTTAGTTGTGTCAGCAGTGAATTAAAACAGCTGCCCCATTACCCATAGCTGTGTGCCTGATTTTAGCTGATGGTGCAGCTGGATGCTGGTTTTAGAATTCTCAATAAGAGAACTGGACCAACTCCAAGCTAAACTTTCTTTGTATACAGTTTTACAGAACGGAGTTTCATATCACAGGGGTTTACATGCAACATCTGAAGTTTAACTCTGAGTTAATCCAAACATAATCCAAAGAAAAACTATCCCTACATTTCTCTTTGAATAACGTGTTCTGAATTTAGTTCTTTCTTGGTGAACAAAACACCTCAGTGGATGGCAGACAAAATGTGAATCTCTAAGAAGTGCACTCTCAATTTCAGTATTCAAGAAATTGCCTGAAATAGTTCAGTTTTGCAAACATTTTCTCAAGAGGAAGAATTTGTACACAGAGCTATCTCCTTAATCAAAGCAAACCAAGTCTGGGACTTCTCTTCACAGATTTAGTTTTCTTGCTAATATTTCAGCAGTTTTCTTACAAAAAAGCTTTTCCAACATTATCCATATTTTAATGACACTTACTTGCCCTCAGAGCTATAACTATTTATGCTGCCATCAGTGGATTCCCGGCTTGGCTGTCGAACCATACGACTTCTCATTTCTGCTGCCATTCCCGTCTCTGTGCTTCTCTGTATCGTGCTCTTTAGCTTCTTGTTGCCAGCCTCTGAAAGCAGAGAAAGAGAAGTGACAGTTATAATGACAATCTAGCACAAAACCTTTCCTTACAGGTGTTCCCTAACAATGATGATCTAACTTGACCATTACTGTTCAAAAATAGTCAAAAAGACTATTCTGATCAAAGAAGGAATGTCTCTTCTTTATCCACAAACTGGTGATGGTTTCTCTTTAAAAGAAGTTTGCAGCCTGAAGCTCGCTCTTTGGGCAAACTGTTAGAAATTAGGTATGTTATTAATAGTCTTTATACAGTCAGAATGCAGACAGGACAGCTATGATAGTGTCTGCTAACCATATACTTGATGTCTCCAGCCACCTTGTAAGTTCAGTTGGATGATCACAAAAAAAAGTTAACTTACAACTCTCACAGAAAAAAATAGAAAAAAAACCCCTTCATGCATTCAGTAGAAAAATGTTAAGTACTAACATACTTAGCATCAAAAATACGAGATGTGTTTTGACCTAGCAAAATGCTGCTTTTCATCTCTGAAATTCTTCAAAGTAAACTGTGAACTTTACATAACTTCTGATCTTAGCACTTTCTAAGCAGAATTAACTCTCTGAAAAGCTATTTGGAAGATAATGGCCTTCACAGAATCTAGGCTTGCAACTGAACATTATAAAGTAGTGAATTTCTTGTGAAGTTACGTAATGACTTGATCTATTTGGAAAAGCTTCCATCATACATTCTTTAAAATGAAATTTGAGTTACACTCGGAAAATTTCAAGTTACACCTGAGCAAGGAGAGGTCCCAGCTCATTCCAGGGGTAATTATGAGCTCAAGCTGCAATGGCTGATTTAAAACCAATTTGGTTGTTGTGCTGGAAAAAAAAACAAAACTGTGCTTCTCAATGATAATGATTACTCTGAAAAATGTTTAACTGAAACATTTCTAGTAAAGTCGTTATGTAATGCAATCATGTGTGCTGACTTCAAACTCGGTGCCCTGTTTGTTTTCATTCAACTCCTAACACTATTCTCTTTCAGGAAGCAGCAGATTTGACAAAGTTGCACACAAATGCATGCAAAATCATTCTCCTGTGTTTCTCCTACTCATTTAGGTGCTCTTTCATTCACTGTTACCAAAATCTCTACTTCCTTTTCACAGTCGGCTTAGAGAAATATCTGGAAAAATAAATGCCTCTTCTACCTGCACCTGCTGTGGAGGCTGAATGGCTCTGAAAACTATTCTGCTTTTCTCTTTCACATAGATATAGGTTTAAGGCTACGACAAATCTCGACCTCTCTTCGTATTAAAGTTAGGGATTTGGTAGCTTGCCCTGGCCTGCCCATGGCTGAAGAGAATTAAAATTGCTGTGGAGAAGAGCTGGCCTGCACTCTTTGGGTCTGCAGAGTTGGTAGAGAGCAGGAAGAAATCACACAGGAGAGAGCAGCTCTCCCTCTCCGTGGGTTATCACAGTAACCTCTTTAGAGCTATCAGAGAGACAGAAAACATGATCAAAACAAAAAAGTAAGAGTTTGTAAATTGGGCTAAGAAGAGACGCAGCCACAGGGAAGGCAGCTGTGGTTTTCCTTTTAACTCTTCTGGTCAGAAGGTTGCATATCTGTGGCCATCCAGCAGCAGAGACTCAAATGTCTCTGAACGGAAGAAATCAGCTACTTCCAGGACAGCTGTAGCTTCTTCTCTCCCTTCTGAGGCCAGCAGCCCCAAGTTTCTGCTGTGGGCAACTGAAACTCATCCAAATTCCTGGTTCTTAGTTAGCTGAAAGCAACATCCCTAAGTATGAGGCAGACTAGGCTGCACTCCTAGACAGCGTAGATGGTTGTGGAAGGTATTTGCTGCAACTTAGAAGATTCCAATGCAGAAAATCAAAGCATTATATTTTGAATCCTTAACGCTTAAAACAGATGATGTGTCCAGCATACCAACCCTAAAATGCGAACTGAGCATCAAAAATGAATGAAAAGGCAAGAAGTATAGCAAGAAGTATAACCCACACGCAGAACCCTGTGACAACGCACGAGTCTCACATTTTTGGTAGCTACACGTTTTCCACTCATGTTGTTTTGTGCCTCTCTGTCTCGCTGGGACCTGCTGAAATTGCCTGCTTGTTTCTATCCGTTCGCACAAATGGGGGTTAGATTGGGTGTTTCACCACACTGCACCCTTTTCTGGAGCTGGCCAGATCAGGCAGCATGAGCAGAAGGCTAAAATACAGTACCATCTGAAATGGAGGCAGCCAAATGGCGTTGCCTTGAAGACTGTGAGTATTCCCAGATCGTAAAACGGGAGAGATGAGAGACTGAAAAGAGAGTTTTCCTCTAGGCCACCTGGACAACGCTGTGGGTGCGGAAAACTTGTTGGGAAAGCATAATTAAAAACCATATTCAGAAAAATAAAATCACTGTAAAAAATATCCACTGACTAAATTACAGAAGTGAATATTTTAGGTTTGAGCCAAGGTTGAGATTACAAATTACAAACACTTTGTTATGACAAAGTAAGTTAATATTACCATGGATAGCATCAGGGTTGTTGTTTGAACATACTTCTTTTTACCACAGATTTTGAATGTACAGACGGTGAAGCAGGAATACTTGTGCATGGCCATGTGCAAGTCTAAAACCTTATCTTATAATGTTATAAACACCAAATTTTCTGTTCAGGATACTTTACAAGTCACTGTTCTCTGTCTTACTGTACTGGATTCCACTCCTTTTTTTCTCTTCAACATTTTTTTTCAGATTGAAGATAAAAAGAATTTTCTTCTGCTTCCTCTTGTAACTGCTAATAATATTCACAATGTTTCCTGGAAACATCCACAATGTTTACTGGGAAAACTACATAGATCCCTTGCATATTTTATTTTATAACCACAGTTTGAACAGTCTTAATAAAATCAGAAATATAACATAAAAGTAACCTAAGACAGAATGATACAGTACAGAATGAGTTTTATGGTATAAACGCCATTACCATTAGCCTTTACCCACGACAAAGAATTGAAACACGCATTTCACAGGTTTTTCAAGTGTTACACCGGTCAGTTATACACATCATTTTTTTTTTAATCCACTTACAGCACAAAAAGAAAAGAGAACAGTTTATCTTATTGGTATATTCTTATAAGCTTCTCAGCAAAGCCTAGTTCTGCAGGGGGGGAGGTTAGATTACAGCTGAGTTGGAAACTGGTCTTTGTTACTTCTTAAGCCCCTCCGGTACTGCCAAGTCTTTCCGGTGTACAACTTCCAGTCATACCTTGACTGCACAATGAAATGCAGGATCTGGATGATTACCAGCCTTTCCCCAGTTCTTTATGATGTCTGTCTGCTGAAAACTTTCCTTTTCATCTGAAATTATTTTAAATCTAGTACTCACGTGTATACCTTTGAAACCCTGGCCTTACACGAGCAGTACAGATTCATAAAATATTTAAGTTCAATATCTATGCTATGATATACTAAGAACATTTTCGTCGCTTGTCTGGATATGTACTGGAGAGCTCCAGCTCCTGATTTTTATTACTGTTTGATATGTACAATTAAGTTTTATAATACGTTACAGATATTTGCCTGCACTGTGTAAATTACACTATACTCATCATGCCGACTGAAGATAAACTAACTGGCTCCATAATGAATACCATTTAGGGGCAAAATTTACTCCAGAGTGGCCTGTATGCTTCTATCATGTAAAGCTTTCTGTGTGCAGAAATGCAGATTAATGTGCGTAAATTGCATCTAAACACAGTTTAACAGCTACGAACTACAGGAAAGCTATTACAGAGCAATTGTGATGGAACATTTTGGCAGATTTAGTAACATGCAAAAGGATCATAAAGTAACCATCTGCAGCTATAACATATACTCAGCGTGTACGCTTTTGGCAGTTCATCAATAGCCTTGTTGCAACACCCTTGCTACAACACTGCCATGAGTGTATGCACTTTGTTATTTCCCTCCACCTATTATGAAAATAGCCTATCTAGTGATTCCTCTGTTGATCTGACAAGAAACTTGTTTCTGTCCCTGGTTTTCTCAGACAAGAATAAATTAATGAAGATCCCGATCTAACTAATGATGAAGAGCAAAACACAAGTTTCTTAGTGCATTCACTATCTCAAATTTTCATAAAATACCAATGCAATTCCTGTGTCCCAATTTCTGTATTTCCAAATCACCTCCAGGTATATTAACCAGGAGCAAAATGCTGTTGAAAGCAGAATAATACTAGTGAGAACCAGCTATGGTGTCTATAGAATTAGAATGAGCTACTAGAGATACATCAAGGCTAACTTTATGGTGCTAAAGGCATCCAGTCCAGAGAGCAATCCCTAGGTCCCAGGACAGAGAGTCCAAAATGACTCAAATCCACATTGCTCTGGGGCCATGACTGCCCCCAGCGAAGGCATCACCATTAGCCTGGGCTTCCTCTGGGACCCATATGGTGCCCTAAGACATAACCTCTATATTTTGCTGTTGTTTCTGCGCAGGAGGGGCACAGCCTGCTAGAGTACAGTTTTTATCGTGTGATGCCGACGGTACATATTTCCTGGGACAGAGCCGGGGACATAAGGGCACATGCCAGGACGCAAACTTGGTAGCTTAGTTGATAGGACTCTGCTAGCGAACTGCGTAGGACTGACGGAGGCAAACCTGACACAGGCTTACGCATGCTGAGTGAGCCATGCCCAGAATCATACTTGAGGGCAATTAGTTGGTTAACACAATCTGGGAAGCAAATTTCCACACGTGTAGCACCTATGTCTGACCTGGGTAAACAGCATGGAAAATTCATGAATGGTTCAAAAGAACACCAAGGAAAACAAAGCACAGACCATTGCTAAATCCGCTAGTGAAAGTTGATAATAAGCAAGGCACTAACACTCCGTGTCCTTGCTTGACTCAAGGGTAGATGATCCATTGTATCAAGCACGCTCATGCACACAGAAAAATAAGCCTAGAAGGACTACAGCTCCAAGCCAGCTCTTACTGGAATCTGGCAGCACCGTGACCGTACTGTTGGT